GGTTTGACCATCCATTTAACAACTCTAACTGGAATTAAAAAAAAAATCTTCCACCCAAAAAATGTAACAATCTTGAACAAAAACAACAAATAACCATGTTTGCCCTCCTTAATCTAAAACCTAAAATCCCTTCCATCGTTCTCTCCAAATATCCCGATTAAACCTCCATCGTTCTTCTCCCCCTTCAATTAGGGGTGCTCAAAAACCCGATGAACCCGACTAACCCAACCCGAATTTAAAAAAAAAAAAACTCAATCCGAGGTAACCCGATGGATGATTGATAAAAAATTAGCCAACCCGACCTTATTGGGTTGGAATCGGGTCAGGCCCAAAAAAACCCGACCAACCCAACAACCCGATCTTAACTTTAGCTTTGAATTGTAGATGACAATCATGACATGACCAACCTCAACGTCAAGAAAGCGAAAGCATCGGGGTTGGAAACGTCTAAAACTATTGTTGTTGATTGATGTATTATCATTTGGTTTAAACATTTTTATTGTAATATCTAAATATTTGATGAACTTGCATATTATCTTGAATGGTCGGTCGTATTTCAAAGGAAAGTTTCCTTTATTTTGATGTGATTTTACATTGTTTAAACACAACCCGATCAACCCGAACGGGTTGGTTGGGTTGGGTTGAAAATTTTCAATCCGCCAACATTGGGTTGGGTTGTTAAAACGGCTCCAAACCGATCAACCCGGGCCGTGAGCACCCCTACCTCCAATTATGCTCCAACAAATATCCTAAAACTGTCTCCAATACAAAGAAAGTACGAAAGAAAAGATTTTTTCCTCCAAATATGAAGAATACCTCAAAAATGATAATATGTTTTAATATATTTTCACCAATACGAAACTTTTAAAATAAATATCGATATAGAGAAATAATATTTTAACAGATGAATGAAATATTTCAATATTGTAATCAATGTTGAGTTCTTTAAAACAGAGAATCTGTTGAAAATGTACGTAATTTTGTTTAAAGATTTTAACTTTTGTTCTTCTTTTTGAATTTTTTTTAAAGAATATATTAAAGATGCTAATAAGCCAGTTCAATGGCATGTATCTGCCTGCAATTTGTCTTAAGGACAGTGTTTTAAGGACAATTTAACATTTTGGAAAGAACAAATGCATGCGAGACAAATAATTTTGTTCTATTATGTCGCATCGGGTCTATGAATCATTACAAGTAATTCCGTTCAACAATTTTTCTCTTATTTGTCTTGTTACTTAATTAAGGCGGATTTTAGATGTTACACTATAAAAGATCACCAGATTAAAGGTTCGTCTATCAAACAGTTATTGGACATCCATTTATCTTGAAGAATTATTGGTGGGCCGAACTCCAAAAATACTTGGGCTTATTTAGCAAAAAGGTTGAGCCCTAATAATGGCCCAAACCCAACAAAAGAATACTAGAAAATGTTTACCAAATTAGGCAAGCTATGTTCCAATTTCTTAACCAAATTTTTTGGAGCAAAGAAGATATTTTATATTTTTATTAAATAATAAAAGATTTATTTAAATTTATTTACTTGCTAATCAACAATTATTACAATATTATTTACTTGTTTTCATTTTATAAATGTGATAAGTATGTGATTTTAATTATAAATAATTGATTAAACCACCAATCAAATCTAATGTTATATCTTCAGAGATTGTAACATCTTTAAAAGGTTCCATCGATGGAGCATGTTTAAGGTTATTTCAAAAAAAAAAAAACTACGTTTATGCATGCGTTGTTTTTTTATTTATTTATTATTAATCTGGATATTCAACCCGCTATGCGAGCCGACTAATCTCAGAATGACGACCTGTTTTGCGGGTGGCCTGGAGTCACTCCATTTGAACCTCTGTGGCCACAATATGATTCTTATTCCTCTTTAGATTTGAACCTTCCTTTGGAGCCCAAACTCAAATAAGTCAAGTACTACCCTTATTGTTAGTACATGTGAAGTTAGTTGTTATTGTGGTTGGATGTAGATAATTGTTACTCATGACATTTTCATAAATTAATTATAAAAATATCACCGAATAAAGTTTTACATGTGCCACAAAAACCTTGAATAGGTGTTGTTAAACGTACAAGTTGACCTAGCTAAATATGTCGCTAAAATAGTAATTTCATGCAAATTTTACACCACCATTAAAAATATATTGTAATTAATTCTAACAAAATTACAAGCACATCAATGGTTTCTATTTTCTTTCACACCATCTTTCTTCTCTCCTTATCAACATCATATCGTAGTATGAGAGTTCGTGTAACCCATGGCGGTGCAAGGTGATGCAAGTATGGCGGTGGAGGTGGTGCATGGATATGACAGATAAGATGGTGGTGGTACAATGGTGGGGCAACATATATAGATGCAGTGTGATGGTGATCGCCAAGGGAGAACTTATGTAGTTATGTAGAGACAACGTGTCCTTCACTGTATGGTTCTGTTGTAGTAGAAAAAGAATTTCGTTTTTAAAAAATGTCATCATGATGTTTTGTTGTATTAAGTTGGCATAAGTATCCCGATCAAAGTTTCCTCTAAAAAAGAATGTGGGTTTGAATCCCTTTCTTTGCAAAAGAAAAAAGGGAGAAAAAAAAAACATTTTTTAGCTTCCAAATCGAGTTTCTATAGCTTTTGTTTTGTAAAGAAAATTCAAGAAGAGCAACCATACAAGTATTATGAACCAATGACATTTCTATGTAAAAACAAGCAAACCAACAATCTATTATGATTTTATTAAACAAAACTCTATAGTTTTCATCCTCGTGGAATGGTTTATTTGTAACATTAATACCATATATTTGTTAATTTTTATCAAGAGTGTCTAGTTTGTTAACCATCAACTTACTTTCATTGAAGGGTCATTTATCAAACACTTAACGGATAAGCACTTATCGATAAGAACGCGACCCTAGATTATTTTATTGGGTAACAATCTCAGCCATTGCCATGCCTCTTACTGGATAAGATTATAGGTCTTTGTCATGCTCATCTCAAAAGTAAGGGGCTGTTCGTTTCGTTTTCTGTTAAGACCTGTATGAATATAGTTGTCTGTATTGATATAGTTGTTTGTATATTAACAGATAAGTTGTTGTTCGGTTGTTGTGCTGAATAAACAGTCTGAATGTCAGAAATGACCATTTACCCCTGGACTTTATTGGTCATCTTAATCCTCGGTTTATCTTTAAACCTTTGAATTAAATCACTAACAACAACAGCATCAAACCCATTACTATTGAGAAATCGTTCTTTTTGTTCCTCTTCTTCCCTATTGATTTGAGAGGGTGTTCAGGGACGGATGGATCGATCGAGGGTCGATTTGAGAGGCGAACAACTATTGATGCCCAAATCTATGAACCCTAAATTAAAAAAACTCAAATCTATGAACCCTAAATTAACAAACACAAATCTATGAACCCTAACTTTAAAAAAAGACACCACAAATATCAAGAACCACAAATTCTCTCCCTTTGCATCACCTCCTACTGACGAAACTCCCTGTCGAATAAAAGAAGGAAGAAATTTGAACAAACACAAACCCTAACCCCTGTTGTGTTGAAGGATATACAAGAGATCGTCCATCATGAGTCATCGACAATAGTGGATCACCGTCCACCTCTGCCGAAGATTCAAATCGACATAGGGAAGTTAGAGCACTTGGTTGTTTTCTCCAATCGTCAATCCAGCAGTGAGAGTAGAGATACAAGTATTGAAATTGCATCGTATGGTGGTGTACCTTCGTTGCTGGGGGTTTTGCATCTAGAATGGGATTGGTTGTACACGCTCCGGGAGCTTGGGGCAGCAACAAATGGACTTTCTGTTGAAAATGTGATCGAAGAAGGTGGTTATGGTATCGTCTACAGCGGTGTGTTGGGGGATGAGTGGGTAGTTGGGGAGAGTGGTAGATGAGGAAAATTAATACAATGTGATGGCTGAGTACATAGGAGTATGGTTTTGTAGCTGACCGATTCAGCTCTTGTCTGAGCAATTAAGCTCTTACCGCATACATAGGTATCACTATGCGAATTAGCCATATCTGCTATATAGCTCATTAAACTGTTACCGAGCAGGTCCTAAGTGACATTTAGTAAACAGTTATCTAATAAGCTGAAAAATGGATACTAAGATTAAAAAAGAAATTCCATCCGACCGATAAATAGTAAACATTTTGTTTATTTTAAGAGTGACCCACCAAACCGGTAGACTATATTCGCTCACCGGTTTATCAAGAGAAATATTATAGATATTGATTATTTCTTAAATTAAATTATGTAAAATTTAATATTTTATACTATTTATATATAAGTGTATATTCATAAGATAAATTATTTTTAGTGAAATTAATTTATTATTTACCATAATTATTAATCACACGTCATAAATATTAAAACAAAAATGAAAATATCATTTTATTATTATCTATACTATATTATAAATCATTTGACAAAAACTCTTAAAAACCATTTTTTATGCGTAAAGTACTGTTTATTAATGCATATTACTTAAAACTCAAAATTGCAAGTACATTGTGCGTAAGTACAACTTATTAAAGCTTCATATATGAATTTGTGTAACTAACTGCAGATAAACATAATCAAATACAAGATAAACATCTCATTTTAAATATAAAAATTCTAAAATATAATTAAGATAATCATTAAATTCTAACAGAATACTTAAATATTATCTTTAAAAAAATTTTTATGATGTTTTATTATAAA